CAGGAGCGGGTTTTGGGGGTGTTTGTGGTGTTCAGGAGGGAGGTACCAAGGACAGGAGCAGGTTTTGGGGGTGTTTGTGGTGTTCAGGAGGGAGTTCCAAGGACAGGAGCAGCTTTTGGGGCAGTTTGTGGTGTTCAGGAGGGAGTTACCAAGACCAGGAGTGGGTTTTGGGGGTGTTCCTGGTCCTCAATCCTGGCATGGAGTCGCAGAACTCCTGCCTCTTTGCAAAGTGCTTGGGCCTGAGGGGGGAAATTGGGGCTGGAATCCAAGTCTGGAGGGAGTTCCAAAGATCAGGAGCAGCTTTTGGGGCAGTTTGTGGTGTTCAGGAGGGAGTTCCAAAGATCAGGAACAGCTTTTGGGGGAGTTTGTGATGTTTAAAGGAACAGGGTGTCCCAGGGATCATCAGTCTGGGAGTGGGGACACGAAGTTTCTGACTCTTGGTAAAGTGCTTGGACCTGAGGGGGGGAATTGGGGCTGGAATCCGAGTCTGGAGGGAGTTATGAAGACCAGGAGCAGCTTTTGGGGGTGTTTGTGGTGTTCAGAAGGGAGTTCCAAGGACAGGAGCAGCTTTTGGGGCAGTTTGTGGTGTTCAGGAGGGAGTTACAAAGATCAGGAGCAGCTTTTGGAGGCGTTTCTGGCATGGAGACACAGAGTTCCTGCCTCTTTGCAAAGTGGTTGGGACTGAGGGGGGGAAACTGGGGCTGGAATCCGAGTCTGGAGGGAGTTACCAAGACCAGGAGCAGCTTTTGGGGGTGTTTGTGGTGTTCAGGAGGGAGTTCCAAGGACAGGAGTAGTTTTGGGGGTGTTTGTGGTGTTCAGGAGGGAGTTCCAAGGACAGGAGCACCTTTTGGGGGGGTTTGTGGTGTTCAGGAGTGGGTTCCAAGGACAGGAGCAGCTTTTGGGGTTGTTTTGGTGTTTGGGAGCAGCGTGAAGGTCACTTCAGGCTGTGGATTCCCTGGAGGAGGATCCTGTTTCCCTGTTCCCACAGGGAGATTGGGAGCAGAGATCCCTCCCCTCCTTCCCCTCCCTGGGCGCTTCCAGGGCCGGATCCTGCGGGGATTTTCATCCTCTGACACCTTCCATAGGGGCCAGAGCCCCTCAAAGTGCTCATGAACTGCCCTATAGAGCCACAAGAGCACCTAAAGAGCCCTGAGAGACCCTCTAGAGCCCTGTCAGACCTTATAGATCCTTGAGATACCCTACAGATCCATGAGAGCCCCTATAGAGCCTTGAGAGTCCCTATAGATCCATGAGAGTCCCTATAGATCCATGAGAGTCCTTATAGAGCCTTGAGAGTCCCTATAGAGCCTTGAGAGTCCCTATAGATCCCTGAGAGACCCTGTAGATCCCTGGGAGCCCTACAGAGCCTCAGGAGATCCTACAGAACTGCAGGAGGCCCTATAGAGCCCTGAGAGCCCCCATAGACCCCTGTAAATCCCTGAGATCCCCTATAGAACCCCC